ATACAATGTAGCCAGGAAAAATTCATTTAACGAATAAAAAAATTAATTCAGTAAATTAGTTGCTAAGTGTTCATTTCAACACCTGTGAATTAATCAGCTAATTGTACAGCTTTATTTTAACTAATCACACAGACAAAATCAAGCAAAAATACACATAAACAAGTAAAGAAGCAAAAGAAAAAATAACTAATCACCCAACAAATGAGTCCAGACATTAATGGTCTCTGTATGCATAACAAAGATGGATTTCAAACACTCGGAGATGGAGTTCAATTCAGGTCTATGGCCTTCGAGTAAATATTCATTATCGTTGAGGAATTCAGGGAGCGAGTCAACCCTAACCAAATCCCACTTCATTCGTCGGGATTTCCCCGCATTACTCAAGTCTGCTGGCAAGGATAGACTTCTTTGTGTCTGGAGAAAAGATTTTTTTTATTTTTTTTAAAGTCTACTAATTCATTATTTTATATTTATAATTACTTATAACTGTTTGTTTGTACATTATGAAATGAATTATTTATTATAATATTTGTTGAAGGATTGATTGGTTATTGTTCTATCATGTTTAAAAGTAAAGAAAAAGTAATATTAATAAAAAATAATTGCTTTTAAATATAAAAACAAAAGCAAATAAATAAAACTAAAAATTAATAAAATAAATAATAAATGAAATTTAAAATTTAAAAAATTAAAGTTTTGCAAAAATAAAAAAAAATGAAAAAACTTACTATTTTGCGATTAACAAGGTGGACGTTATTCATTATTTTTTCAATATCTCATAAATATCATCTATATATAATATTATTTTAAATATTTAAATTAATTTAATCTTTAAGGAATCAAATGAAGAAATGCATTCTGGTTATATAATGTTGATTACGTTGATTAAAAGGAAACTTAAACGTATAGGGATGGCCAAAAAATATAGCTTGAAAACACCCAGAATAAAAATTATTACCATTATGTTAGCAAATTTGTTATTTATACATCACATTACCATTACCAAATTATGCATTTTCACAATCAGTAGACTAAGTTCTATTTAAATCTGATAAAAAGCAACCAGTTTTATTCACTATATCAGTGCAACATTCAAAAAAATCGAAGAATAGTGTGTTCAGTAATAAATAATGATCAATCAATAATCAATCAATCAATCAATCAATTAATCAATCAATCAATCAATCAATCAATCAGTTTTTAAAGCGCTATTTCCGCAATGTTCAACTGTTCAACAGCGCTCCTCAGTGAATTTTGCCAACAGATGCGTCTTGAGATCCGCTCTGAACTTCGTAAGTGATGGAGAAGTAGTCAGAGAAGAAGGTAGAGAGTTCCAGAAAAAAGGGCCAGAAAAAGCAAATGCATATTTAGAAAAAGAGTCTTTAACACGAGTTAAGAAGAAGCAAGAACAAGAAGACGATCGTAAACCGGGGCCTTTAGGTTCAATGTCTAATAAGTACTTAGGAAATCATTTAGATTGAGACTTAAACATAAATGTGCAAATTTTAAAAATTATTCTATTCTTTATAGGTAGCCAGTGCAAGAGAACAAGATGTGGAGATGTATGAGAAAAGAAAAAAAACTATTCGGTCGGTCGATCCAAGATAAAATCTACAGAATTTCCACAGCCAAATTATAATTTTTATGCTTAATTCATTGATTACTACATGAATCTAGTAAAGAAAAGTAACAGCTCAATTCATTATACCTCAGCCACATTAAAAAATCGAGCTTTAGTGAGTGTTCTTGTGGGTGAGTATATATATATATATAATAATAACTGGTAGTTTTTACATGGATAGATATATATAATTGATATTATATCCAATAGTAATATATCCATCAATAATATATATATTATGTTATATATATATATATCCAATGATATATATCTAACAATCAGATTGATATATGATATAGCAGCAAATTTTCTGAACATGAAAATTTATAATTTGATAATGAAAAATCTGACATTTTTCATTAATAGTAACTTAAATAGGCTTAATATTCATCATTATGTGGTAATGATATCAATGGAGCCAACCTCATGTAATCGTGAACATGTAGGTACTATGTATACAAGTTGATGTCACACTCGTACATAAAACATCCAACAAGGTGACACCTAAAACGTACATACAAAACATACAAAAACAACAACAATATACAACAACAACATCTTGAGGATCTAATTTCATCCTTCCATCTCATCTTTCTCCTTTCTCTCTATCATTAAAAAAGAAGCGAGACAGAATAATTTGCTGTGAATCACGTATAATGATATAGAGAGATACAATAAAGAGGAGTAATGATATAGTTAGCCTGCTGGAACGCCTCTAGCCCCATAGCGAAAAGTACGCAATTCGATACGGAACGATACGATAATGTACACAATTCGATACGATTCCAAACAAAAAAGTATACAATTTGTTACTATTCGACAATGAGATAAAGTATATAATTCGATGTGAAAAAATGAAAAGCACGAAATTAAATTCGATAGGATTCGAAACAAAAAAAACCATCTAATCCGATACGATTCCAATCCAGGAAGTACATAATCCCACGCGAATCGAGACGAAACGAAACCATTCTCTGCCTCATACATGCATGCATTTATGAGCAATATTGTTCGCGTAATATATCAGACACGCTTGTGTAACAAGGTATTACCAAGTAAGACAGTAACAATAACGGTATCGATAAATTTGCAACTTTGTCAGCGCTGTGTGTGTGTGTTTGTGTGTGTGTTTGAGTCTGAGTGTGTGTGTTTGTGTGTGGGTCTTTTTACAGTTGTGTGTACATCGGTATGTGCGTATAAAGATATATGCGTGTGTATGTATGTGTATGATATGTGTAATGGCGGTTTTGAGAAACCACATGTGCGTGTGATTGTGTGTGTGAGAG